TCTGCACCAGGCCTAGACTTGTCTCCTGACTGCTTTCACAGCAGTGACCACAAGGAGTACACTGAGTCATTCAGGTTCTCAGTCTCTCTCTCTGTTTTTTTTTCCATTTGTTTTTTTTGTTTTATACTAGTAAAGCTATTGATCTGTGTGAATGGCTGTGCTCTGTTGATGGCCTAGACTATAAACCATTCATTACACACTTTTATTCATGACACATAGCACTGACTATGAGGTAAGCAAGATCCTAGGATACTGGAGGACACAAAGGGAATGAGATATGACTTTGACCACAATGGCCTCTATCTCTTCAGGACACATACAAATTTTGGTAGTTAGAAAGTGGAATTGGCACAAGAAATATTTAGATTATTTTGGGAATGAAAGGGATCAGCTAGGGTGCCTTTAGCTTCCTGTAACAGAATTTCTGGCCCAAAGTGGCTTCAGTGCAGGTGGTTATGATCTCACCAACAAGGAGTCCAGAGTCAGGGGACTTCAGGGCTGATTAATTCATCCTGTCAGCAAGGGCTTTCCTTTGCATCAGCTCCTCTGGGATTCTCTTTACCTCTTTCTTCATGGTGTCACTTTGGCTGCTACAGCTGCTAACATCACACATTCACCCTACCAGGTCAAAGGCAAAGACAGCAATAACTGATTCCTACCATTTGCCTTTCTTTAGTTAAAGAGATACGACTTTCCTAAACACCACCTGCCACCCACAGTAGGTATCCTCTCAGGCCCTATTGGCCAGAACTGGGCCAAATGCCCTCCTCACCCCCAACCAATCCTAGCAAAGAGGAAGGGGAGGACCTCCAGTCATGATTCATTCCCTAGAACGAGCCTACTTTCTTTGAGCCCATTGCATCAGGAGACCAGACCTGATGAGCACAATTTACATTTTATTTTTTAGTATTATGGTTATTCAGTGTAGAAGAAAGAAATGACTGCTAACAATGTTTGCAACAGGAGGCAAAGAGGTCAAGCACCAAAAGTCCAGGTATAGAATGGATCGTCCTTGTGGATACAGGAGTCACGGAAAATGAAGACAGAGCTGTAGTGGTGCCAGCATCGCGCAGGGCTAAAAAGTCTTCAACGATGACCACAGCGATGAGCAAGAGGCAGACAACTGCATAGAAGGGGTGATGGGGTGCTGTCCAGGAACTGTACTTCCACGTTCTCAGACGGGAAGCCTACTCCCTCTGTTGCCTTGGACCTTTGGTGTGAGGATCCTTCTTTCTCTTCTCGGAGTCTGGCCTCCTCGGTCCTTGCCCCAGGCCTCCTGCACCCCGCCCATCCCACTCAATCTCCCGTCCTGAGAACCAGCTATCAAATGGGAGAAGCTGTAGGGGCAAAGGAAGCAGATGCAGCGTCAGGATCCAGGCACGTTTAGGGTCACCATGGAAACCCCTGGGCGAATCTTCAGCGACGGGGAGGCCCAGGGAGGACCTACACCGGGAGGACATAAACCACGTGATGAGCAGCGCTCCCTCTGCTGGCTCTCAGATCCCGGGGGGGGGGGGGGGGGTCCTGGGAGCACTCGGGCGCGCTGCCCTGCGTGGGCGGGGGCGGGTCACCGCTCCCACCTCCAGTTGCTCCACCTGTGAAAGGAAGGCTCTGCCAAGGGGGAGAGGGCGCTGGGTGCTGCAAGGGGTGAAGGCCGGCAGGGGCACCGGTCTGCCCTGTAGGGGATGGGGGATGGTATCCCGGCGGTGAAGTCATGAGGCTATGGTGAGAGCTGCCTGGTAATTGGCTACACCGCAAGACGCATCTGAGAGCCGCCTGGCGATTGGCCAAGTAGCGTCTGTGCTGTCAGGAGGAGGCATTATGACGCGTCTGGGTGGTTATAAAAGCCGGGCTCTGGCCTGAGGCCTGACTGAGGGGAGAGACGGCACTTTTGCTTCGGCTCCTCCTGCTCTTGGAAGCATTCTCCAGCCCAGACGACAGCATATGGCCTGCGCTCTTGTCCAGCCCTGGGCCTCTCGCCCACACCTTGTGCTCCACGTCTATATTCCAGTCCACCTTCGCTCCTGGGCAGTCCCGCGGGTCCCCGCAGCGGCCCCGGCACCGCGGACCCGCGCCCCCTGGCTCTCACCTGTGCGGTCCCATCCCACAGGGAAAGTTGGGCGTCAGGAATCAGAGTAAAACAGACCCTCATCCACGGGGGGTGGGTCCGTCCCAGACCTCCAGCATCACAACCTGGTTCAGCACAAGGTGGCCAGGCCCCCGGACACCCGGATGACCAAGAGCCCCCCAACCCAGCTCAGCACAGGGTAAGCAAGTCCCCCGGACACCCAGCCCTTCGGGAGCCCACCAATCCAGCTCAGCAAAGAGCAAAGGAGTCCCCTGGATCCTCGGCCGGCGGAGAAACCCAACCTAGTTGAGTTCAGGGCTAACAGTCCGCCGGACACTTAAGCAACTGGGAGGCCTGTGACCTGGCTCAAGACAGGGTGAGCGAGTCCCCTGGACACCCAGCCCACCCAGAGCCCTCTGATCCAACACAGCACAGGACAAGAATCCCCCAACCCAGCTCAGCACAGGGTGAACGAGTCCCCCAGACACTCGGCCAACTCTGAGCCCCCGACCAAGCTCAGCACACGGTGAGTGAGTCCCCCAGACAGGGGGTCCCCCTCCCCCCAACTACCGCAGCAAAGGGGGGCCAGTCCCAATTCCCGTCCTCCCGGACCCCACCCAGTTGCACACCAGGTGTCTAGCCCTAAGGTTGCCATTCCTATTCCCCAAGACCTTGTCTGCCTGTGGGCATCAGCACCTCTGCCAGGCCCAGGTGAGCCAGGCAAAGGAAAAATACCTCATACCAGTCATCATGTGCCACATGACCACACTGCACTCAGAGAATCTGAGCCCAGAAGTCGCAGAGAGTGAGGAGAGAGGCCTCAGAAAGTTCTCTCGCCTCCTGGCAACCTTGACCCTGGCCATGTTCCTGTCTCCCAGGTGGTATCCTGTCAGCGGGAAAGGGAAGAACCAGTCCCTGTGGCCCGCCCATCCCACCACAATTCAATCAACCTGTAAAATGGATGGAAGGCCAGGAAACCGGGCAAGAATAACAAACAGAACACAAAAATGTGAGGCATCTTAACCACCCAGACATGAGAAATCTGAGGCCACCGGGCCAGGTGGAAATCCATCTTCCAGTGGAGGGGCCAGGACAGGCTCTCTGTAAAGGTGGAGGTTGCTGCCTCTGTAGGAGGCGGGCTCAGAAATGGCAGTGGTTCATGGCTGGGTATGGAGGCCTGGCCAATGCTTGGAGCTATTCAGAGTGCAGTCCCCCTGAGGGGTCATGTGCCGAGGTGCTGAAGACCTTAGGCCTGGGCCTGACTTCAGCCTGGTGTCCTGGGGGCATATCACTTGGGGAGCCTTTTTCTTCTGGGGAGTTCTCTTGTTCAGATGGAGCTAAGGCTGCCATGCCTTAGAACAAGAGAACGGCCTGAAGTTGGAAGAGCTGTCCATGGAAAGCCAACTTATAGAGAAAAGTTTGACAGACTCTGAGGGAAAGCTGAAATTGATGAAAAAGCTAACACCAGCAGGGAAATTAATAAAAATATGTCTAAGCAAATGTCTGAGCTAAAGTATTCCTTAAAACTGTGTGAAGAAGAAAATCCAAAGCTGAAAAATCTGGTTGTCAACGTGGCATTGCAGGAAGGACACGATTTAAGGCACTTGCCAGAGGACCAGGCCTCTCTGGACACAACATGAGATGAGGATGGGGACTGCGAATAAGTTCTGGGGGAGACCCAGGCTCTGACCACAGAGCAGTCCTCCCCAGCTCCTCCAGGCTCAGGACAGGTCCTCCCGAGGGGAGGGGGGAGAAGGGAAGGGGGAGGCATTACAAGAACAGGCCGAGCAGTGGTGTCAGCAGCAGGCCGGGGTCCGTGAGCTGGAGAGCTTCTACAGCAAGATGTGGGGGTTCCTGGAAGCTTTTGCCTTCCAGGCAACATTTTCACAGTGCCAAGGGGCGATGTCCCCAGCATGGCATAGAAAGGGGAGCTGGGGAGGGATGTAGGTCACCTCCTTGAGAACTTCATGATGAACTTCATGATGTTTGTGCATTTTAAATAAATGTATTGGAATGCAAAAGAAGTGTCCCTGGTGACTGTTATGGACAGCCGGGGTCACAGTCACTGCATCATGCCACATGAGTTGTCGCATTCTCTAGCTGGTCGGGTCTCCACAGGGCAAGTGTCCAATGTAACCCTCAGAACAGAGCCGTGAGGTGGGCCCGGGTCTCTGTGGCTCTGAGAAGGTGTCGGTGAGCTAGAGAGAGCTGACACTGAGCACAACCTGCCCTCCCCCATCAACGCTGTTCACACGTGTTGACTCCTCTAAAACTCGAGCCAGCCACTGAGGTGGGTGCCCTTCTGATAGAAAAGAAAGCAGAAGCAGAGTGTCACCACACAGATATTTCTGCAGAGACCATTTCTGGCCCCAATTTGTGGCAAAACTTGGGTTTGGACCCCAACGTTATGGCTCTAAACTCTGGCCATAGCAGCAGGTACTTCTCAATGGCAGTTCCTGTCTGAGTCAGGCTTTTGATGAGCAAATGTGAGGGGTAAGACCAGAGTTTGGAGAGACCGGAGGTGTGGGACGTGGGTGAGGTGGTGTGAGGTGAGGGCGGTGGGTGAGAGACTGGAGAGAGGGGGCTAGGATCGTGGGCTGCGTGCTCAGAGCGACAGAAGCTGTGCAGGCCTTGGGAGGTAGATGTGGCACTTGCTCTGGTTGCTCTAGGTGCGAGGGTGGATGGACGGAGCAAGGTGGAGACAGGTGGCAACAGGTGCGTCAGGGAGACCGGAGGGTGTCTGTGGACATGGAGGGTGGTGGCTGCCTCCAAGAAGCAGAGCTGAGAATCAGTGATGAATTGGATGCTGGGGGCAGGGAGGGAGGATGCCAAGGTTCTAGGATCCTGGGCGATGGTCCCTCTCAGGTCCAGGGACTGTGGGTGGAGCTCAGGTGAGGTGTGGGCGGATGAGCAGGGCCTCCCTGTGGCTCAGGCCGAGGTGGAGGTGGAGGTGGAGCTGTGGCCCAGGGGTGGTGCTCCAGACACACACACTCATGGCAACTGGGCGTAAACCCAGGAGAGTCAGAAAGAAGCCTGTCTGGGGGGAAGGTGAACCTGAGGGGGACTTGGACTTGGACGGTGTCTGAGCCGTTTGGAGGGCTGCTGGTTTCAGGAGCCAATGGGGAGGGTGGTCGAGTCCAGGTAACTAGGAGCTGAGGGCAAGTGGCTCAGAGCTGGTGTTAGTGTGATAAGTGTGGGGGTCAGGATGGTGCGGACCTGGAGGAGGTGCAGTTTGAGGAGTGACATTTGGTGAAGGTCTGAGGTGGGGTGGACACGGTGTGTGACCTGGACATCTGGGCCAGCCCTCCCACAGGCAGAGGCAGCATTTCACACTCATTTCCTGTCAGCTGGTGACCCCAGGTCTCTGGCACTGGATGGGGTCTGAGGGGCAGAGGTCAGAGGGCACATGGTACACTTGTGTGATCCCAGTGCTGGGATCCTCCTCTGCTCAGCTGCTCAGACTGCACCCCAGTCCCCAGGAACAGCAGCTTCCTGGAGGCTGGAGGGGCTGTAATCTGAGTATGGGGGTGTGATCCTGAGCTGCTCACCCCTCGCCCACCCCCAGGTCCTTCATCAGTAAAATGTGGATGACTCCGCGGAGAGCAGGAGGCAGGAGATGGCAGGGGTTAGGGAGCGGGCATCAGGGGCAGGGGACTGATGGAGTCCCGCAGAGTGAGGAAGTGAGGGAGGGAGTGTCCCCTGTGAGCTGGCTCCTTGTCCTGGCCCTTCCTTCCCGAAGGCAGAACATCAGCTCTGGGAGGAGAGCACTCTGGGTGCTGCCTCTGCCGCACACCTGGTCTTCTCTGCCCTTCTCAGTCACAGGCTGCCACAGCTCAGCACCTGCATTCCCCACAACCCTCCTATCTCCTCCACTGCTGCTCAGCACCCACACGTCAGGGCTCTGGGGTGGCAGGGATAGCTTTGAGCTCCAGGGAGCTGGATGGAGTAGGACGACTAGCTTTAGGGAGCTATTCTGTGGTGTGGTGACAAATATGGCATTAGTATATATATAGAGAAATATTTATAGATTCACAGGAAGCTGCAGATAGTACAGAAAGCTCCCAGGTACACTTCACCCATTTTCCCCAGTGGTAACATCTTACATTGCTGTAGAACAATACTGACACCAGGAAACCAATGTGGCCACAATGGGCGTGTTTGTTTGGTTCTGTCATTTTATCATGTGTACATTCTCCTACCTAGCAGCACAATCCAGGTGCAGAATGTCTCCGTCAGCACAAAGATCTACCTCATGCTGCCCATCGCTGCCCCCACCATTCTCGCCATGGCAACCACCAATCTGTTCTCCATGTTGGGAGTTTTGTCAATTCAAGAATTTTACAAGAATGGAATCATACAGCTTTGACCTTTTGAGATTGGTTGTGTTTTTCCTCTCAGCATAATGCCCCTGAGATCCATCCAAGCTGTGAGTATCAATGGTTCTTTCTTTTTTATTGCTGAATATCGAGTTCCATAGTGTGGACATACCACGGTTTGTTCATTTATTCACCTATTGGACATTTTGGATGTTTCCAGTTTTTTGGCTATTGCAATGAACATTTGTTCAAAGGCTTTTGTGTGAACTTAAGTTTTCATTCTCTGGGATAATAATTCAGGAGCATGATTGCTGGGTTGTATGGTACATTTATGTTTAGCTTTTTAAGAACCACTCAAACTGTCTTACCAGAGTGGCTGTACCACATACATTCCCATCAGCAATGTGTGAGAGATCTGAATTTTTGCCAGCATTTGATGTTGTCACTATTATCTATTTATTTATTTTGGGGAAGTAGATTTAAATTTTTTTTAATGTTTTTTAAAAATTATTTTATCGAGGTCATAATAGTTGATAACATTGTGAAATTTTGGTTGTACATTATTATTTGTCAGCCACCATATATCTGTGCCCCTTTACCCCTTATGCCCACCTCCCAACCCCCTTCCCCTCTGGTGACCACTAATCTGTTCTCTTTGTCCATGTGTTTGTTTATCTTCCACATAGGAGTGAAATCATGTGGTGTTTGTCTTTTCTGTCTGGCTTATTTCGCTTAACGTAATCCCCTCAAGGTCCATCCATGTTGTTGCAAATGGGAAGATTTTGTCTTTTTTTATGGCTGAGTAGTATTCCATTGTATATATATACCACATCTTCTTTATCCATTCATCAGTTGATGGGCACTTGGGTTACTTCCATGTCTGGGCTATTGTGAATAATGCTGCAATGAATATAGCGGTGCATAAGTCTCTTTGAATTGTTGATTTCAAGTTCTTTGGATAAACACCCAGCAGTGGGATAGCTGGGTTGTATGGTATTTCTATTTTAATTTTTTGAGAAATCTCCATACTGTTATCCATAGTGGCTGCACCAGCAGCCTACCAGCATTCCTACCAGTAGTGTGTGAGGGTTCCCTTTTCTCCACATCCCCTCCAACATTTGTTTTTGTCTTGGTGATTATAGCCTTTCTAACAAGTGTAAGGTGATATCTCATTGTAGTTTTGATTTGCATTTCCCTAATAAGTAGTGATGTTGAACATATTTTTCATCGGCCTGTTGGCCATCTGTATATCTTCTTTGGAAAAATGGCTGTTCATATCCTCTGCCCATTTTTTTGTTCAGGTTGTTTGTTTTTTCATTGTTGAATTGTATGAGTTCTTTATATATTTTGGATATTAACCCCATGTTGGATATATTATTTGCAAATATTTTCTTCCAGTTGGTGGGTTGTTTTTTCATTTTGTTCCTGGTTTCCTTTGCCTTGCAGAAGCTCTTTGGGCTGATGTAGTCCTGTGTGTTTAGTTTTTCTTTTGTTTCCCCTGCCTGAGTAGACATGGTATTTGAAATGATGCTTCTAAGACCAATGTCAAAGAGTGTACTGCCTGTATTTTCTTCTAGGGGTTTTATGGTTTCACATCTTACCTTCAAGTCTTTAATCCATTTTGAGTTAATTTTTGTGTATGGCATAAGATAATGGTCTACTTTCATTCTTTTGCATGTGGCTGTCCAGTTTTCCCAACACCATTTATTGAAGAATCTTTCCTTTCTCCATTGTATGTTCTTGACTCCTTTGTCAAGGATTAGCTGTCCATAGATGTGTGGTTTTGTTTCTGGGCTTTCAATTCTGTTCCATTGATCTGTGTGTCTGTTTTTGTACCAGTACCATGATGTTTTGATTACTATAGCTTTGTAGTATATTTTGAAGTCAGGGATTGTGATGCTCCAGCCTTGTTCTTTTTTCTCAGGATTACTTTAGCTATTTGGAGTCTTTGTTGCCCCATATGAATGTTAGCATCCTTTGTTCTAATTCCATAAGAATGTCGTTGGGATTCTGATTAGAATTGCACTGAATATGTAGATTGCTTTAGGTAATATGGACATTTTCACTATGTTTATTGTTCCAATCCATACGCATGGAATATCTTTACATTTCTTTATGTCATCAACTATTTCTTTCAATAATGTCTTATACTTTTCATTGTATAGGTCTTTCACCTCCTTGGTTAAATTTATTCCTAGATATTTTATTCTTTTTCTTACAATTGTGAATGGGATTGTATTCTTGACTTCTCTTTCTGTGAGTTTGTTATTAGAGTATAGAAATGCAACTGATTTTTGTAAGTTGATTTTGTATCCTGCAACTTTGCTGTCATTGTTGATTATTTCTAATAATTTCTGGTGGATTCATTAGGGTTTTCTATATATACAGAATCATGTTGAGTCCAACCAGCGAGAATTTTACTTCTTCCTTGCCAATTTGGATACCTTTTATTTATTTTTCTTGCCTAATTGCTCTGGCCAAAACCTCCAGTACTATGTTGAATAAGAGTGGCAAGAGTGGGCACCCTTGTCTTGTTCCTGTTCTCAGAGGAAAGGCTTTCAGTTTTTTGTGGTTGAGTATGATGTTGGCTGTGGGTTTGTCATATATGACCTTTATTATGTTGAGGTACTTTCCTTCTATACCCATTTTGTTGAGAGTTTTTATCATAAATGGATGTTGGATCTTGTCAAATGCTTTCTCTGCATCTATTGAGATGATCATGTGGTTTTTATTCCTCATTTTGTTAATGTGGTGTATCACGTTGATTGATTTGCGGATGTTGCATCATCTCTGCATTCTTGGTATAAATCCCACTTGATCATGGTGTGTGATCCTTTTAATGTATTCCTGTATTTGGTTTGTCAATATTTTGTTGAGGATTTTTTCATCTATGTTCATCAGCAATATTAGCCTGTAATTTTCTTTTTTTGTGTTGTCCTTGTCTGGCTTTGGGATCAGGATGATGTTGGCTTCATGCAATGAGTTAGGAAATATTCCATCTTCTTCAATTTTTTGGAATAGTTTGAGAAGGATAGGTATTAAATCTTCTTAGAATGTTTGGTAGAATTCTCCAGAGAAGCCATCTGGTCCTGAGCTTTTATTTTTTGGGAAGTGTTTGATTACTGTTTCAATCACTTTATGTGTGATTGGTCTATTCAGAATCTCTGTTTCTTCTTGATTCAGTTTTGGGAGGTTGTATGAGTCTAAGAATTTATCCATTTGTTCTAGATTGTCCAATTTGTTGGTATATAGTTTTTCATAGTATTCTCTTATAATCCTTTGCATTTTTGTGGTATCCATTGTAATTTCTCCTCTTTAATTTCTAATTTTATTTATTTGAGCCTTCTCTCTTTGTTTCTTAGTGAGTCTGGCTAAGGGTTTGTCAATTTTGTTTATATTCTCAAAGAACCAGCCCTTAGTTTCATTGATCCTTTCTACTATTTTTTTTTGTTTGTTTCAATTTCATTTATTTCTGCTCTAATTTTTTTATTTCCCTCCTCCTGCTGACTTTGGGTTTGTTCTTCTTTTTCTAGTTCTGTTAGGTGTAGTTTAAGATTACTTATTTGAGATTTTTCTTGTTTGTTAAGGTGGGCCTGTATTGCTATGAATTTCCCTCTTAGGACCACTTTTGCTGCACCCCCTATGAGTTGGTATGGTGTATTTTCATTTTCATTTGTCTCCAGATATTTTTTGATTTTTCCTTTAATTTCTTCATTGATCCATTTGTTGTTCAGTAGCGTGTTGTTTAGCCTCCACATATTTGTCACTTTCCCAGCTTTTTTCTTGTCGTTTATTTCTAGTTTCATAACATTATGGTTGGAAAAGATGCTTGATATGACTTAAGTCTTCTTAAATTTATTGAGGCTTGCCTTGTTTCCCAACATATGGTCTATCTTTGAGAATGTTCCATGTGCACTTGAGAAGAATGTGTATTCTGCTGGTTTTGGATGGAGTGTTCTCTATGTATCTATTCAGTCCATCTGTTCTACTTTTTCGTTTAATTCCACTATTTCCTTGTTGACTTTCTGTCTGTATGATCTATCCATTGATGTAAGTGGGGTGTTGAGCTCCCCTACTATTATTGTGTTGCTGTTAATTTCTCCTTTAGATCTGTTAATAGTTGCTTTATGTACTTTGGTGCTCCTGTGTTAGGTGCATATATATTTATAAGTCTTATGTCCTCTTGGTGGAGTGTCCCTTTTATCATTATATACTGTGCCTCTTTGTCTCCCATTAGCTGTTTTATCTTGAAGTCTACTTTGTCTGCTATAAGTATGTCAACACCTGTTTCTTTTGTTTGCCATTAGCTTGGAGTATTGTCTTCCATCTCTTCACTCTGAGCCTGTGTTTGTCTGTACAGATGTGTTTCCTGGATGCAGCATATTGCTGGGTCTAGTTTTTTAAGCCATCCAGCCACTCTGTATCTTTTGATTGGAGAATTCAATCCATTTACATTTAGAGTGATTATTGATACATGAGGGCTTAATGCTGCCATTTTATCACTTGTTTTCCAGTTGTTCTGTATTTCCCTTGTTTCTCGTCCCATATGTTTTGGACGGCCTATTCAGTTTGGTGGTTCTCTATGATGGTTTTCTCAGTTTTCTCTTTATTTATCACTTGTGTTTCTGTTCTGATTTTTTGTTTATCAGTTAAAGTGAGGTTTGTATACAAGATCTCGTGGATGAGATAGTCCATTTTCTGATAGCCTCTTATGTCATTAGTCTAAGCAGTTTCCATCCCTTTCCTCTTCCCCGTCTAAGTTATTGTTGTCACAACTTATTCCATTTTGTTCTGTGAGTTTGTGGTTAAAATGAAGTGAGTATAGTTATTTTTGATGCTTTCCTTCCTTTTATCTTTAATATTATAATTAAGTGTTTGATAACCTGTTCTGATAGAGAGCTGCAATTTTCTGATTTTGTCCACCTGTTTATCTCTGTGCTCAAGGCTTTGTAAATCTTTTCTTTTTTTTCCAGGTATGAGGGCCTTCTCAATCATTTCTTGTAGGGAGGTCTTGTGATGATGAACTCCCTCAGCTTTTGTTTATCAGGGAAAATTTTTATTTCTCCATAGTATCTGAAGGATAGTCTCACTGGATAGAATATTCTTGGCTGAAAGTTTTTGTCTTTCAGAATATTGAATATATCATTCCACTCTCTCCTAACCTGTAAGGTTTCTGCTGAGAAATTCACTGAAAGCATGAGAGGGATTCCTTTGCAGGTTATTTTCTTCTGCCTTGCTGCCCTTAACGTTTTTTCTTTGTCATTGACTTTTGCCAGTTTTCCTAATATATGCCTCACAGAAGGTCTTTTTACAGAAGGTCTTTAACTGCGAGTTCTTTTATCTTCATTTACATGTAATTCCAGCTCCTTCCCCAGGTTTGAGAAGTTCTCAGCTATTATTTTTTTGAACAAGCTCTCTGCTCCTTTCTCTCTCCCTTCTCCCTCTGGAATACCTATAATCTTTATGTTGCATTTCCTAATTGAGTGGGACATTTCTTGGAAAATTTCTTCATTTCTTTTTAGTCTTAGTTCTCTCTCTTCCTCCATCTGAAACATTCTTATATTTCTGTCCTCTAAATAACTAATTCTGTCCTCCGTAATATCAGCTCTGTTATTTAAGGACTCCAGATTTTTCTTTATCTCATTCATTGTGTTTTTCATCTCCAACATTTCTGATTGGGGTTTTTTTTTTATAGTTACAACTTCTTTTGTGAAGAATTCACTTTGTTCATTAATTTTATTTCTGAGTTCACCGAAATGTCTTTCTTTCTTTTAACTCGAGTTTCTTTATGGTAGCTATTTTGAATTCTCTGTCATTTAGATTGTAAATTTCTGTGACTTCAGTATTGGTGTCTGGGTACTTGTCATTTTCCTTCTGGTCTGGAGTGTTAATATAATTTTCATGCTGTTTGATGGGGTGGACTTTTGCCATTGCATAATGGTAGTGTCTGGTCTCAGATTCCACCTGCCACCACTGTGCGGGGGGCGAGGGGGGAGGATCTGTGTTTTCTGAGCCCACGATGACCCCTGTCAGTTGTGTCCATCTGTTGGAAGCTGTGCCAATAGGGCTGTTCTGCATTTGCCTGCTGGCCACCGCTGCTTTACACACATAGGCACAGGTGCTCTGGCAGGGATCCCCTGCTCTGGCCAACCAACCAAGCTGATGTGCCCGGCAGGATTGGGGGCAGGAGGTGCCTTCCTTCCTGCCCGTGCTCCTGCTCTGCACTCACTGTCTGCCTGCCTGGGCTGCTTGGCTTGGTGGGGACATCCCCCCCATGGTTGCTTAGCCTCCTTGGTGTGGAGCATTCCCCCTGGGCTGGGAGGCAACTCCAAGAGTGAAGGGTTCCTGTAGAGGGCTGCCTTCTCCCCCTCTTCTCTCAGAGTCACATGCCGGCTGCCGCACAAGGTCCCACACCCTAGATCACTGCTGCTGGGAAGGGAGAGGAGATCCACTTACCTCTTTCCACTGCCTCCCAGGGGGTCCAGCACCCCCACCTTCATACATATGGCTGTGTGGATCTCTCAGATATCTGTTGTATTGTGTGAATGTCCTTTATTGGTTTATGAATGTCCTTTTCATTGTATCTTAGGGAGGAGAGACTAAGGGAAGAGCTCACTCCACTATGATGCTGATGTCACTCCCTCTATTTTTTATTTTAACCAACTGTTCTAATAGGTGGACAGTAATATCTCATTCAGGTTTTCAGTTGAATTTCCCTAATGGCTAATGATGTTGAACAATTTTTCATGTGTTTATTTGCCATGTGTATATTCTTTTTTGTGAAATGTCTGTTTATCTCTTTTGCCCATTTTCTATTTGAATAGTTCATTTTTTTACTGTAGAGTTCTGAGAACTCTTTATATATTCTAGATGCAGGTCCTTTGTCAGATATTGTGTTTGCAAATATGTCCTCCTAGTCCATAGCTTGTCTTTTAATTCTCCTAAAAGGATCTTTAATAGAGAAAAAGTTTTTAATTTTGATAGAGTTCAATTTACCAAATATTTTATTTTATGGATTGTGCTTTTAGTGTCGTGTCTAAGAATTCTTCACCAAGCCCTAGGGCCTGAAGATTTTCTCCTGATTCCTTCTAAAAGTTTTGTAGTTTTACATTTTACTTTTAAATCTATGCTGTGATCAATTTGAGTTTATTTTTGTATAAGTGGTGAAGTTTAGTTCAAGGTATTTTTGTTCTTCTTTTTGTTGTTGTTGCCTATGGACGTCCAATTGATCTGGTACCATTTGTTGAAAAGACTATTATTCTCCATTAAATTGATTTTTCACCTTTGTCAAAAATCAGTGAGTCATAGGGCCGGCCCTGTGGCTTAGTGGTTGGGTGCGTGCGCTCTGCTGCTGGCGGCCCGGGTTCGGATCCCGGGCGCGCACTGACGCACCGCTTCTCCGGCCATGCTGAGGCCGTGTCCCACATACAGCAACTAGAAGAATGTGCAGCTATGACATACAACTATCTACTGGGGATTTGGGGGGAAAAAATAAATAAATAAAATCTTTAAAAAAAAAAAAAAATCAGTGAGTCATACTAGTGTAGGTCTACTTCTGGGTCCTCTATTCTGATCCATTGATCCTATGTCTTTTTTCTCCACCAATACCACAGTCTTGAGATGGAGTATACTGATTCCTCCCATTTTATTCTTTTTTAAAATCGTTTTAGCTATCCTAGTTTCTCTGCATTTCTATATAAACTTTAGAATAATCTTGTCTGTGTCTATAAAAGAAAACTCTCTGGGATTTCTAGGAATTGTGTTAAACCAGTATATCAATCCAGGGAGACTTGACATCTTTCCTGTGTTGCGTCTTCCAATCCATGAGCATGGTATGTCTGCCCATTAATTTAGATCTTTGATTTCTTTCATCAGTGCTGTGTAGATTTCAGCATACAGGTCTTGTTCATGTTTTTTAGATTTATATCTAAGCTTCAATGATTATAAATGGTATATTTTTAAATTTCGGTTTTCAAATGTTCATTGTTGGTGTATAGAAGCAAAATTGATTTTTGTATTTTTATCTTGTATCCTGAAACTCTGCTGAACTCACACATTAGTTCTAAAGTGGTTTCTGTTTCGTTTGTAGATTCACTTGAATTTTCTTCACAATCATACTATCTACAAATAGGGACAGTTATTATTTTTCCCTTTTTGATCTGTATTCCTTCTTTGTCCCCCTTCCTTGCCTTATTGCACTGGCTAGAACTTCCAACACTATATTGAATAAGAATGATGAGAGGAGACATCCTTGCCTTGCTCCCAATCTTAGGAGAAAAGTATTCAGTCTTTCACCATTCAGTATAATGTTAGCTGGAGGTGTTTTGTAGATGCTCTTTAAGTAAGTTGAGGAATTCCCCTCTGTTTTGATTTTTTCTGAGTTTTTATCATGAATGAGTGTTTAATTTTGTCAAATGCTCTTTCTGCACCAAGTGATGTGCTCATGTAATTTTTTCTGTTTAGTCTGTTGATATGGTGAAATATATTAATTGATTTTCCAGTATTGAAACTGTCTTGCATCTCTGGAATGAATCCCACTTGGTCATGGTGTACGATTCCTTTTATATAGTGCCAAATTCTATTTGATAATGTTTTATTGTGGATTTTGGCATCTCTGTTCATTAGGACTATTAGTTTGTAGTTTTATTTTTCTATAGTGTCTTTGTCAAGTTGAGTATTGGTACTACTGGTTGCATAAAATAAGTTGGGAAGTACTCCCTTGTTTTCTATTTTCTGGAAAATGTTATGTAAACTTGATGTTAATTCTTCCTTAAATGTTTGGAAGAATTTTCCAGTGAAACAATCTAGGCCTGGAGATATCTTTTTAGGGAGCTTTAAAACTATAAATTCAATTTCTTTGAAAATTATAGGGATATTCAAATTACCTGTTTCAAATGGGGGATGTGTAGTAGTTTGTGCTTTTTGAAAAATTGGTTCATTTCACCTAAGGTGTCAATTTGTGTAGGTAGAGTATTCCATTATTATTCTTTTGATATCTGCAGGGTCTGTGCTAATATCCTGTTTCATCCCTGATATTGATAATTTGTGTTTTCTCTTTTCCTTTATCAATTTTAAGTCTGCCATATCATTTTTTTGTTTTCTGTTTGTTCTCTCTGTTTTTTGTTTCCTTTTTTTTCCCCTTCCTATGGGTGTCTTGAACATCTTTTAGAATTCCATTGTGATTTAAGTGTTTTTCAGTGTATCTCTTTGTATAGTTTTTTGTATGTTTGTTCTAAGTATGACATTATATGTACATAACATCACAGTCTGTTGGTCTCTGCATCTTACAGTTTGAGTGATATGCAAGAACCTTACCTCCTCTTAGGTCCACTTACCCTCCCCTGTTTACAATACAATTGTCTTAAATATTTCCTTTACTTATATTGAGAACCACTAAGAGACAAAAATGTTATAATTTTTGCTTCAATTATCAAACATAATTTAG